TAACATTGTGTTTGTCTACTCTTTTCAAATAAAAAATGTCTAATGGAAAGTCAAATCAAATTTTTATGAACATATGAATTTTAAATTTGTTCAACATTGGATATTCACTCAATTTTCCTTGTGCTAATATTCTTATTTTGTCGTTATTCAAAAAGGAAATACTTCAGAAACTTGATACTTAAACCATATATTTATTTTGTCAATTTCTYATACGAGATAAAATTTTCAAAATATTTAAATTATTAATAGAGATATAAAATTGTATTCATTGGGTCAAATAACTTAAAAATTTAATTCAAGGTTCCCCATAAATTGATAAAACAGCAGTGGGAAAATATTAATAATACATAGACATATTTTTTTTTATAACCGCTTAAAGTTCAAATTTTAAACACATTTATTAATTGAAAACTTAAAACAAGGTTTAACGTAAGTAGTTATTAAAAGAAAGAAAGAATTAGTTAATCCTGCAACAACAAAAAAAAATCTAAAAACTATACAAATACAGTTTTTTTAATAGTTATTTTAAGTTCAAATTTGGATGAATTTACATTATAAATAATCAAGAATAATAATTTTAGTTATATTATTGTAATTTAAAAATATTATTCGTGGGTACATGACATTTCTAGAGTATACTTTATATTATAATTTTAGTAGTTAATGAATTATATTAATACTTTATAATAAATTGTACACACCAACACACCTATTATGAATGACTGAGTGAGTCAGGTACCTACATAATGAATTTGATTCCATTAATCGGGAAATTTATTTTATAGGTAGGTATACCTACATTTTTTTCAATTATAATAATCAGTAGCGTAATTACAAACTTATTTGAGGAGGGGGTGTCATAATAGTGAAATGATTTTATAAATTAGTATAAAATACTCTTTATTAACTAACTCGTATTATTAAGTTTTTATTAACTTATTGAAATCATATTAAACTATTACAGAATTATATGATTTTTTTTTCGTTAAACTTTATTTTTTTAATAAACAAACTAAAATGATTAAATTACGGATATATTTAAAATTTGAAGTTTTCAAATATTTGTGGTGGTGGGGTGGTGGGGTGGACACCCCTCAAC